GATGGATGAGTGTGAGACGTCGGGATGAACGAATGACGATGGAGCTGCTCGGGACGAGCACCCTTGAAGAAGGGGGCGGTGGTAACGTCCGGAAGATGAACACCAAAGGAAGGGAAGTACCGTTAGGCTGTTTGGAACGAACAACGTTTAGAAGTGGACAGTGTAACGTGGATGGACACAGCGTTGCTAGGTAACTGACCGCGAAACACCTCGAATACACACAAGGTTACAGTGGGAGTGCGGTGTTTTCTATGGAGTCTGTGCCGTGACCATTGCTATGCAATCGGTCTGTAAACAAGTTCCAACAATACAGGCTGTTTTGTGTGTGGCCCACGAAAGGCCTGTGTGAGGGGATTCAGCGTACCAGATGAGTTAGTTGGAGTCTAGCGGTCCCCGAGAACACTTGACCGCGAGCAGCGAGAATTGCGATAGTGACGAAGAAGCATCTAGAGGACATTATAAGTGACAATAATTGGGACACTGAATTGTGTAAGTGTAAAACGTTCGCCAAATCTGAGACCTGCTTGAAGTTATTTGTTGCGTTACATAGGCAACACGCGAAAATATCATCATATAGAAAACCACTGCACAGCATACATCATTTTATGCAATGACAAGAGTTAACAGGATAACTTCAATTTCAAATAAGTTTTAAATTGTAATGGTAATTGGAATTTTAATTTTAAACGGAATAACACGCCAGTGGGGCACCCAGTAGCGTAGTTGGTTGAGGCACTATGCTACAAACCGGAAGGTCCGGGTTCAAGTCTCGATGAGGTCATTAGATTTTATAAATTGTCCTAATTCTTCCAGCCGCACTATGGCCCAGGGGTCGACTCAGCCTCTAACAGAAATGAGTACCAGGAATATTCTTGGAATGTTATTGGGGTTAAAACGCGGTCGGTGCGTAGGGCTGACAATCTTGCTGCCATCTATGAGCCGATTGCCTAGAAAATGTGGGAACCACAACATTTCAAGCCTATGGGCCTCCACGGCCTGTTACAGGGATATCTTTACTTTTTTTTATAACACGCCAATAATTTGCTTTTAGATATAATAGGACATTAAAATGAACAATGGCAACTCCAAAGAACCCACATACTATGCAACATACACATTATCATACCACGAAATAATCAGATGACTTGAAAATTTTGAAGTTTTATATTAATTGAATATTTTATTTTTAGTGAAGTGAACATTTTTATATTTAAATTTAACAGTTGAAATTATTATAACGTACCAAGCTGAATGAAAAATTTATATATCACTGATCCTGATCAGTATTGCTAAGCAAGCCAATAACAAGTGACATATTCATGTAATGATTGCCTGATGATGACCCAGCAGGGTCGAAACATATTGCAGTACTTCCACATAACAAACAAATGATCATGCAGTAGTATTGATTTGTTCATTATAGAATTGTTGTGTTGACTGATACATTAGGAATTCTAATATATAGCACACAACGGGATGCATACAATAAAGAAATTTGTAGGGTACCTCTAGATAGCAGCTCTATTCTATCAAGTTGGGTATCTTAGTATGTACAGGGGTATTATAAATGAGTCGGCTGATAAGAAATTAGTATATATTTTTAAATGGTTACACATACAAACATAAAACAACTTGAAAACAGTGTGAAAACTCATAAAGTTTATGTAGAGATGTTTGATTTGTGCTATATTAATTACTCAGAAAACGGCAGCGTGATATTAAAATTCATCCAATGTGTGCCACGACTATGACTTATCAGTGTTGGCTATGTCATGTGAAATTTGATTTCAAAGGGATTGTGGTATTGGAGGTTGGTAAACCTGGTCTTTCACATATCCCTATAGGCAGATGCCACATGAAGTGAGGCCCAGGAATCCACTCAACCTGTAACCGTTCTGAAAATACACTAATTTATCACCCAAATTATTGTAACGTGTTTTTGCCACTGAAGACGCCGTTTGGATTGTTAATTGGTTTATTTAACAACCTACAAGTCTGGCTACAATTAATTATCACAATGTTACGGGTTTACACACTTTAGAACCCTACACACAAATCTCTTCACACTATCACGATTCACTCGTTACAACTGGACTCGTTGACTACTACAATTCAACTGTCTTAGGTGGCTGCTATATTTCAACTGAACTCTCTTCGTAGGCAATGTAGTTCTCTTATAAACCCTCAGCCGGACAACGGGAAACACCTCGCTTCCTTGTTGCCTAGTCGCCGTGTTTTGCCAATAGCGTAGCAACGCTGTTGGGAGTTGTTTACGGCTACGTAGCAACTGCGGCGTACCGTGTTACGTCACCGTGGGGAGAGACGGGGTGTTGACTGCCTTTGCTTGGCACGTCACTGCTGGCTGGGAGGGAGGGGCGTCATCCATAGAGCAACACGTCACCCTGCTCCCTCCTTAAGGCTGTTCATCCCGAATAGCCTAACGGTGCATCCCCGTTCCTTTGTCTTTGGAGGCTGTTCTTGCAGTATCTTTCTGTCCTGCTACTGTTTCTCTTCTTCCCGTTGATCTGCTCTCGAACCGCTACATCTTTCCCCCTTTTTATGGTTGCTCATCTCGAGCAGCTCCATGATAAGGCGCGAGCCGGTCCAGGTCTACTACCAACATCCTCGACCTAGGGTTCTTCTGGATTCTGTATACCACATCATTTATCCTGGTTACTACTCTGTAAGGACCTTCCCACGATGCTTGTAGTTTCGTCGATTTCCCTTTCGTGCGGGTTGGGCGATAGAGCCAAACTCTGTCGCCTTCGTCGTAACCTGCGGAGTTGGCCAGTTTATCGTACCGAGTTTTCATCCGGTCACTGGCGAGCTTCAGGTGTTGTCGGGCATAATTATGGATGTCATGCAGATGACCCACCAAGTCTGCTGCATAATCGGTTGTGGGTAGTTCTTTGTCTGGGGGTACCCCAAACAGCAGGTCGCAGAGTAGTCGTAGTTCTCATCTGAACACTAGGCTAGCAGGGGTCAAGCCCGTAGTGTTGTGATTTGATGCCCTGTAAGCTAGGAGAAAGAGGGGTAACCTCTCATCCCAGTCCCTTTGGTGGGTTGCGATGACCTTCCTCAAGTGCTCCTCGATTGGCTTGGCCACCGACTGTGGGTGCAGGGGTGTGGTGCGAGTCTTGCTCACTCCCAGGCGTTGCAAAACTTCTTGCAGTAGATGAGACTCGAAGTTACGGTCTTGGTCACTATGCAACTCCCGAGGTATGCCGAAGCGGCAGAAGAAGTTGGCAACCAGAACTTCCGCTCTTGTCCTGATTCGGAATGGCGTATACTTCCGGCCACTTGGTAAAGTAGTCCATAGCGATCAGCAAGTATCGGTTTCCTTAGTCGCTTCGTGGGAAGGGCCCTGCGATATCAATGGCTATTCTCTTGAAGGGAGCCCCGACATTATACTGGTGCATTTTCCCACGATTCCTGGTCCGCTGTCCCCGACTGGCTGCACATGTATCACACTGTCGACACCATTTCTCGATATCGGTTCTTGCTTGGAGCCAGTAGAATCTCAGCCGAACCTTATTCAGAGTTGTTGACACCGAAGTGACCTCCTGACGGTTCACCGTGTAGTTCGCTCAGAACGTCCTTCACTCTGCTCCGAGTAATAATTATCTGGGCTACTTGACGTCTTCCATTGGCGGATTCCCAGTCGCGCTCTAGTATGCCGTTTCTCACAGCGAGTGATTTCCACTGGACCCAGTAGCGTTTATACGTGGGACTCCGATCCACGATGTCCTGCCATTTCGGTCGTTGGCCGTTTTCTACTTCCCGTAGAATAGGCCATATGTCTGGGTCTTTTAGCTGTTCCCCTCTTAGGGTAACCGGGTCCCAGCCGACTGCCGGTAGGGTTCCAATTGCGCGTATTTGCTTTACATATGCCCGTGTCTCAACTTTGTGGCAATGCACACATTGCTCTTGGCAGGGTTGTCTAGGAAGGGCGTCAGCGTTGTTATGTTTCCGGCCTTGACGATGCTCGGAAGTAAAGTTGTACTCCTGTAGACACTGTATCCAGCGCGCAGTTTGTCCTAAGTTCTTGAAACTCATAAGCCAGGTAAGCGCAGAGTGGTCCGTTCGCAGATGGAACTGTTGTCCGTAGATGTACTTGTGGAAATGTTCCAGTGTCCTCGCTGTGGCAAGTATTTCTCGTTGGGTTACGCAGTAATTTCTCTCCGCTTTGTTTAGTGTATTGCTCAAGTAAGCTATGACACGCTCTTGTCCATCCTGTATTTGAGAGAGTACTCCTCCAATTCCGACATTACTTGCGTCTGTGTCCACAATGAATTTCTCTCCTGGCTGTAGGTGGGCAAGAATAGAGGCAGCACATGGGGCACCCTTTAGTGTTTGAAAAGCGGCCTCCACTTCTGGAGTCCACTGGAAGGTTTGTTTCTCTTCAGTTAGTTTCGTTTGTGGTTTCACAATGTTGGAAAACCCTGAAATAAATCGCCTGTAATACGTGCATAGTCCCAGAAAGCTTCTAATTTCTTGTTTATCCTTCGGGGTCGGCCATTCTTGCACAGCCTTCAATTTTTCCGGGTCGGTGGATATACCTTCTGGTGATACAATATGACCGAGGTACCTGACCTCTTTCTGCAAACGTTTACACTTTTCCGGGTTAAGTTTCAGACGGGCTTCCCTGAACCTCTCGAACACTTTCCGTAAGTTGAGCATGTGCTCTTGGAATGTGCGGCTTATTACGGTCACGTCATCCAAATACACAAGGCATGAATCGTACGTGAGCCCCCGTAGGACTGTCTGCATTAGCCTCTCGAAGGTTGCCGGGGCATTGCAGAGGCCAAAGGGCATGACTGTGAACTGCCATAACCCTTGGCCTGTCGAAAACGCTGTGTTCTCTTTGTCATCTGGGTGTACAGTGACTTGCCAATAGGCACTATTTAAATCGAGAGTTGAAAACCATTTGTCTCCGGCAAGCGTGTCCAGGGTGTCGTCAATGTGGGGTAGTGGAAAGCAATCCTTCTTGGTGACATTGTTCAGCTTTCTGTAGTCCACACAGAAACGGAATTCTCCACCCATTCTTTTTTTCTGACTAAAACGACCGGGGACGACCAAGGGCTGTCCGATTCTTCTATAACCCCTTGTCCTCGCATGTTGTCAAGCATTTCTTTTACCTCTGCTTGTTTAGCCAGGGATACTCTCCTCGGTGGCTGTCGAATTGGATGGGCGTCTCCCGTGTCTATGCGGTGATATACTTTGTTTGTCCTTCCATAATCTTCTTTGTCCCTCGCAAAGATATCCGCGAACTCGGACACGAGATCCTCTAACTCTTGAAATTCTCCGGTGCTTAGGTGTGGCTTCGCCGCTGTGGTCACGTCAGCTAATTTCAGTTTTAGGCCTGGTGCTGGTGGCTGCCCCACATCGGGCAAAGCCATGAGTGTTACTGGCTCACAGTGTGCCAGAGGAGATCCTTTCCTGAGCTTTTGGTCCCTGCGGGTAGCATTCATGACCCTCACTGGTACTTCTTGACAGTCCTGAACTAGGGTCCTGGCTACGTAGATTCCATCAGTCGGATGGGCCTGCGGGCTTGGCTGTACTAGACCATTTTCTACTATCAGATTATTCTCCATTCTAGCCAACACTATTCCCTCGCTCTGTGCGGGAATCACTTGGTCCTTTGCCACTGTTAAGCTGGAAGGACGGGGCCTTGCCCCTGGACTCCATAACAATACTTCTTCCGCCAGACACAGAGTTTGGCGTCCTATGTCCACAGACACATCGTAGGCTCGCAGTATGTCCAGTCCCAGGATGAGCTCATCAGTGATATTCGCGACGAAAACCCACATTGTTATCGGTCGGCGTCCTAGGGTAAGGGTCAACAGAACTTCTTTCAGGATGGGTGGGGATCCTCTAGACACGGTCTGCAGCGTAAAATTTGTATTTGACCGTCGTTCCGGCCATCCGGCGGCGATATCCAGTCTTACTACCATTACGTATGCTCCGGTGTCCACTGTCACCTAGCATGGCTTATCACCGACCCATCCCTGGGTGACCAGACTGGTGTTGGCCTTTTCCGTGATGTCTGTGAGTGTGTAGTGTGGGGGCCTTAACGCATATGCCGGCGTCCGCCCCTGTCCGCCGGCCGTCTCTCATTTCCCGACTATTGGGTGCCCTTCTTGTTCGTGTGTTCGTTGTGGCTTGTTGGCAATTCGCGTGTGTATCTGCCTGGCCTATCATCATGTTCTCGGCGCATTCCATTATTAGCCTTCTTTTCGTGGGGGCAGTTATTCCCGAAGTGGCCCAATTCTACACAGCTTCAGCGCCTTGATTGTCTTCTGTCTCTTCGTTGTGTGGGGGGTGATTGGTACTTGCGGTAGTTCTTGGTGCCATCTCCGTGAGGTCTGGCTGCTACCAGTACCGCCTGCAGCTCTAGTGCTTGTCGGAGGGCCTCGTTTACCGTCTTCTCCCCTCTCAGCAGAAGCTGAATCTTTATATCGGCATCTCGTATTCCGAATACGAACGCTTTTCCTGCCTCTCTTCCTATGTGGTCTGCAGGTAGATTGGTGTAGGCATTAAGGGCAAGCAGTTCATTGGCCATGGCAAAGTCTTGCAGGTATTCTCCAGGTTTCTGCGTCCTTGTTCTTAATTGGCAGTGGTAAGCAGCTGCAAAGTGCTGTTCCCCAAAACGGTCCCCCAGTGCCCGAAGTGTTTCCTGGTAAGTGGTATTGGTCAGAATGCCGGGTAGAACTTCTGCCGCCCGGCCCTTCAGAGCGGTGATCAGGTATGTTGATTTTTCCCTGTCCAACCATTGGTTGTGTTCTGCTACGGTCTTGATTGTCGCCGGAACACACTCCACGTTGAATTGCCCTTAAATGTCGGTGGCTGGGCTGTGCCCGCGGTGACCGTGGGTGTGATTCCCCGCTCGATCCTTGTCTGTACTACTTCCAACCAGGCCTGGAAATCGCGTTTGGTTTCTTCAGTTGCTGCACAGATTTTCGTTAATTCTTCCTGAAGACTTCGTTTGTCATGTTCAGCGATCGCCAAAATGTTTTCAACTCTATGTTGGATTTTATCACCCAAATCTGACCGCATAGATCGCATTTCGGCCTTCATTTCTTCCTTGTCGGCCTTCCTATCGGCCACCGCCTTTTCATAGTAGGCGTCTAATTTTGTCAGCATGACGTCGGTTTTTTTTTGGTTGACGTCTAATTTTGCCAGGAAGTCTTCTCTGTCTTTTTTTCTATTGGCCTCCATCTCTTCCTTCTCTTTCAGCATTTCCTCTTTGTCGACTCTTATTGGCATCTAATTTTGCCACGTTGGCTAGCATGATGTCTGCTTTTTCTTGGCCAGCGCTGATTTTCTTCAGCAGGAGTTCCATCATCTGCTGTGAATCCATTTCTCGGTGCACTCAATTCATTTGTGGCGTATTTAAGTTCGTAGACAATTCTGACACCAGTGTAATATGTTTTTGCCATGTTTGAAGACGCCGTTCGGATTGTTAATTGGTTTATTTAACAACCTACAAGTCTGGCTACAATTAATTATCACAATGTTACGGGTTTACACACTTTAGAACCCTACACACAAATCTCTTCACACTATCATGATTCACTCATTACAGCTGAACTCGGTGACTACTACAATCCAACTGTCTTAGGCGGCTGCTATATTTCAACTCAACTGTCTTCGTAGGTAATATAGTTCTCTTATAAACCCTCAGCCAGACAACAGGAAACACCTCGCTTCCTTGTTGCCTAGTCGCCTTGTTTTGCCAATAGCGTAGCAACGCTGTTGGGAGTTGTTTACGGCTACGTAGCAACTGCGCCGTCCCATGTTATGTCACCGTGTGAGAGACGGGGTGTTGACTGCCTTTGCTTGGCACGTCAGGGCTGGCTGGGAGGGAGGGGCGTCATCCATAGCGCAACATGTCACATTATTTATATTCGACTGTATTTAGCTGTCATTCTGGAACTTGCGTAAGTTACTGAGGATAGAAATTTTTTGATAGAGTATAAAGACAAAAATAACACCGTCCAGTGTGACTATTTAAGTTTTATCACTTGAAAACTCATCACCCGTACATGTTTCGATCCCTGTGGATCATTTTCAGAGGGCATCAATACTTTTTCCGGAAACCGCTATTACAGTAGGTGTTAAATTATATACATACACATATAATGTCTGAAATACACAAATGTTCAACTTTTCACAATTACAGCAGCCTTCCTGGTATTAAAATTTTTAAAGTTTCTTAAAAACTTTGTTAAGATTAAAATTTATAAACCATGCAGGTTCGTGTCAATTTAACACCTATTGTAATAGTAGTTTCCGGAAAAATTATTGATGCCATCTGAAGAAGATCCATAGGGATCGAAACATGTAAGGGTGATGAGTTTTCAAGTGATAAAACTTAAATAGTCACACTGGACGGTGTTATTTTTGTCTTTGTAATTGTTAATGTGATGGACCAGAATGAAACAAATAAAAAAAAAATTGATAGTGTTTTCTTGGGAACCATTGACAGACTCTTGTGAACACGGTAATGAACATTTGGGTTCCATAAAATGCTGGGAAGTTCTTGAGTAGCTGTGCAAGTAATGACTTCTCAGGAAGGACTCAGCTTCATGAAGTTACTTAGTTTAGTTAGTGTTCTCATAGGCAAAAGCTGTTACCAGTGCAGAAATGGTTTTCATAACAGGATTGGTTCTTCAGATTCAACATTGATGTTGATAATCACAGCATTGCTGTGTTGAAATTTTGATGGGGTTTATGCTGGTCGTAAAGTAACTGATGATTGAACCAGTCAGCTTCTTTGCAGTGTTTTTGTGTTTTGTGACTAATGTGACAAACTGTTTTTGAAGTACATGTTAATTTGTGCCATGCAGGACAATGCCACAGCATGGCAGAGCCCTCAGCAGGACAGAAGCAAAAGGACAGCAGTCATGGCAAAATAGTTCATCTGGATCCAGTCTTCGGTACCACAATGGACCCATCTCCTACAGCAGCGATAGTACAGATAGCAGTTATAGAGATCTGCCCACAGCCTTCTGTGGTCGCAGCAGTGGAAATTATGAAAAAATGACAAGACAAGATTATGAATATCTTGAAAAATCAGTGTTAGAATATTTTGATAAGAAATTCTACTTCAGCCCCCCATTATGTAACTGGAGATTGCCAGGACCTAGTGAGATGTTTTTTGCTGACAGGTGGAAGGTTAGTGAAAACAGATGAAAATCTTGTTGGATTGGGGGTTCTCACAGTAGTGTACTATCTTCTGAGATGTGACATCAAGTAGTCCAACATTTCATCAATATATCAAAGGAACATATGCAGCAATTTCACTTTGAAATTTCAGTAGCTTTATGCTGGTGGTTTAAAATTGTTGTTTTCCATAACACCACATGATATTTTCAGTATGGCTTTATTTCTTTAATTTATTTCTATTTTACTGCAATTTTTTTATTAATATTTTTGCCTGTTAGTGTAATCATTGTGGTCAGTATAGTTGATTTAATTTGATGTTGGTTCTTGCTGACCTCATCTATTGTCCAGGATGCTTGTATGTGTAATGCAACTCTGGCCTGTTTATGTGGTCCGTGAATGTGATGCTTTCTACTTTATTATATTTAAGCATCCTGTTGCACTATACACTTCTATATGTAATAATACAAATGCCATCCTGAATGCAACAATTTATTTGGATGTAGTTCTTTGTCTTTTCTTCCGCTACACTACATGTTTTGGCCATAACTGGCCATCATCAGGTGTATTTTTCACTACGTAGTTGTCACACTGCACACAATCCAAAATCTAAAACACCAGCATGTCAGTTTTGTTTAAAATCTTGCCAACATACGCTCATCAATTTGATTTTAGAATTCCAGTTTAAAATTTAAAAATTTTTAAAATTTCAAATTCAAAATTTAAAGTTTTAAATAGAATAAACAGAATAATACATGAACAGTGCTGGAAACAAGAAATAGCCGCTGCACCACATGTAGACACAGAGCAGGTATCCCTGTGATTTAAAATTTTAAATTTTAAACTGGAATTCTAAAATCAAATCGACGAGCATACGATGGGGTACCCAAAAGAAACTGAACTAATTTTTTTGTGGGCAGAGCTTTTGTAGTACTGCATTTTGCTGCTATGAGCTCATAGAGCTAACATTCCTGAGTCGATAAGCCGACTACCGTTGCTTCAGAAGGTAAGATGGCAGATTTTGTCACAAAATTAAGTAATGAATCATGGGACAATGTATTTGACAGCAATAATATTGATTCTAAATTTAATTGCTTTCTGAACACATACTTGAGGATCTTTTATTCAAGCTTTCCCTTAAAAATAGTCAAAAATGAAAATAAAAACAAATCCACCTGGATAACAATTGGAATAAAAACTTCATGTAAACACAAAAGACAACTATATTTGGCCAGTAGGGACAGTAATGATCCAAGACTAAAAAGTCACTACAAAATGTACTGTAAAATTTTGTCAAAAGTCATTAAAGAAGCCAAACAGAATAACTATAACAGCCAAATTCTAAAATCAAACAA